AACCCCTCTGCAGAGCTCTCAATAACAGAATATTCAGAACCTCAGCCACAATATTAAACAGAAGTGGTGATAACGGGTCCCCTTGACGCAGTCCCCTCTCCGGAGAAAACTCAGATGTGGGAGATCCATTTACCAAGATAGAAATTTTTGCTGATGTTAAGCATTCTTGAATCCAACTAATCCATTTATTACCAAACCCAAAGTTAGATAGCATAGAGAATAGGAAAGCCCAGTTAATGGAGTCAAAGGCTTTCTGAAAATCAAGTTTTAGAACAATGCCCTTCTTCTGATTCTTCTTCCAACCATCCACAATTTCATTCGCAATGAAGATACCATCCAAAATATTCCTACCTCCAATGAGTGGGGGAGGAGTTGTGACGATAAGGGTTCATATTAAGAACCTAGTATGCTTTATATATGTTGGAAATTAGGTCGGATTTGACCCGACACATAACCCGTGCAGCATCCACATGGTTGTGGATCATTCACATGATTTAATAAATAAGATAATTAAGAGATTATCTTTTAGGAGGTGTTTGAGTTGTTGTGAAAAACTACAACTCCACCTCTACCTCTATCATGAGAGAATCCCTATATGTTTGATATAGAGAAAACAATAATATGTATTATTATTGGTTTGTGAGTTTATCCAAAAATCTCATGCATTTGTTCCTCTCTTAGGTCCATAGTTAAACTTGGGAATTTGGAATGTGGATATAAGATTGAAAAACTCTGGTAGCTTCTCAATTGGCGGAGGATTCTTCCAGACAAGGCTCATAATTCAAGCATCACAATCCAAACCATTTCCACATTAGGTAATATGATTACTCACATCTTTTCCTTCTATATATATAAGGAAAAGGATTAAGTTTTTTTTTTTTTCTTTCAAATTTACTCAATTTAGATTTGTCATAAACTTAACAATGTAAGGTCCAACTACTTTGTCATGTTATTAAAGGGTAATTCTTAAGTGTGCAAGTGCATATCATATGCATTTACGTAAGTTCTCATAAATATACGTAAGTTACTTTACATTGCATAAATTTTCATAAATATACGTAAGTTAATCCATAAAAATTAGAAAAATCACAACTTACGTATATTTGTAAGAATTTACGCGATTTTGTAAGATAACTTATGTATATTTGTGAGAACTTATGCAAGTGCATATGATGTATAGTATGCACCTTACACATCCAAATACTTCTTGTCATTACAAGTGAATTGTGAATTCTAAGAGCTTCTCTAATAGTGTGTTATATGACATGCTATTGTTGTATTTTGTTTTGAAATTTTTAAATTTTCACTCCAATGGTAAGGCATATATCTTGTTACATATTACCTATAGGTAAACATTATGTCAAAGATAGCACAAGATTTACCTATAGTTAAATCATTTATGTCTATATCTTTTCTGTAGGGACCACATGTTGCATTGTGATTTTGGCATTTTGAGAGAGAGAGAGAGAGAGAGAGAGAGAGAATTTTACATTGTATTATTAGAGTAATATTGTTATAATCGTTATTAGTGTACTAACTAGTGTACCAACATATGTTATAACATTATTATTGACTCCACTCATTATACAAGTAATAAATACTAAAAAACTCTTAAATTATGTTGCATTACCAATTGGTCCACTAGTTTATACACTAATTGGTGTATATAACACTATTCTTGTTACAATAAAGTATGTAACATTATTTATTGCTAAATTATAACAATATTTATCTCTTTACCTATCTAACCATCATTGTGAGTTTTTAGCATTCCCCATCTATCTATACTATTATTAAAAGTAAACAAGTCACTTGGCGTTCATGAATTTTCTTCTTTCTTTTTGTTAAGTAGCATTTTTTCATTACGCCAAGTGTTAATTTCTTCATCCAAAAGTCAAAAAATAATAGTTACAAGAAGAGCATAGTAGTTGAACCTATGACCATCCACTTAATAAAGAATACTTTCACCTTTCACCACTTAAATAACATAAAAATATATTTTTAATTCAAAATTAAAATTTATATTTTAACACACCCATCAAGTGGGATCACACCCTTAGTATAGATATATACTATCTATTCTAGCAACACTTTTATTGGTGTCTTGAAACCTTCATTCTTTATGCTAAGTACATTTTGTATTACCATATTATCCTCTCTTTTTTTAATATCTTAAAATTTCGCCCATAATTTCGTAACCACTTGAAAGTTAAACAATAACAGTAACTGTCAATAACTACTAATATTTTGATTTTGAATTTCAAATTTCCATAACTTTTTATTTATTTACCTTTGCTCTTTATATATTCAACTGATTGATTTTCTTAATACACGAATCTGTTGTGCACACCATCCTATATACATATAATATACAAACACGGTGCAAGCTTGAGACCTTTTCCATTACAGTAAGCAGAGAAGAATTTGTGTACCTTTCAGATGTGAACTCATACTATATCATAAACATGTACTAAAAGCCAGTTATGTAGCATACTTGGTCCTATCACACAAACCCAGCCGGCCTCTATACCTCAATAATATATGTGTCCATGTCTACACATAATTATATATACATAGTTATACATGGCTTAGAGTTCCACAGAATCCACCATTTTATTCACAGAGATGGCTAAACGTTTCAAACTTCGATTCAGCTTTCCTTCATTTCAATTCTGTCGTTTGAATTTGAAGCAACTTTCTTCTTTTCCAAAGTCTCCATCTCCTGCAACATATCACCAGTTCTCTCCCTTCAACACCAAAGCATTCGACATCGGTTATCCCAACGTCCCGGAGCCACCACCTTCAACCCCTAACCACCCATTTTCATTCAAACGCCATGTCTTATCTTCACCCAAGACCGTCCCAGTCGATTGTGGATGCAACTCAAAATCACCAAGAGAGAAACAACCCAAAACTCGACGTAAATTATACACATCTTCGGTTTCTAATCTCTCCGACAGCAATACCTTGCCAATCAGGCTTCCAATGTAAGAAATTATTTTTATTTGAGCTCCCATAGAGAATTTTTTTTTTTTTTTTTTTTTTTCGCCATCTTTCTTTGTAAAAGAGAAAATAATATTTTTACCAAAATAACATGTATAAAATCTGTCACCAGAATGATGTAACAATACTATTTATACAATTAACAGTCAATATAACGAGTTCTTTTATTGTAAAGTGTTACTCCCTCTCTGTTGCTACTTCATTTTATCTTTCTTTGTTTCCCCTTTTTAAAGCATAACTCTGGTGAAAAGTTAGTTGAAAGTAATTTACAGAAATTAACTAGTTGAGTTGTATAAAGTTTTGCATTATAATCCATCTTAGGTATATGATATGCAAGTGTGAGGCATATTCTGAGTTATTTGGTTTTCGTCCAAAACTCTTTTATTTGAGTCGGTCTCCATTCCTTTTCTTAGAGTTGAGCAAAAAATTCATAAATCGGTATAACTCAAATTAAATCGTATGATTTGATTTGATTTTTTTTAATACATGGTTCAGTTTTAATTTCTAAAAGAAAATGATATACAATGCTCTAATAGCAATGCTCTTTTTAAAATAGACAAATCATATTTTATGTTTTGATTCATGGTTTATAGTTGTGGTTACGGTTTGAAATCGAACCGAACCATTTAAATATATACATATATAATTTGTTATTTGTAATAGCCACTTAAGTATACTATTAATATCTGATATATATTCATAAGTTTTCAACTAATTACTTTTGCAAATATGTTCTTATATAATAACTCTCTATGTCACGTATTATTGGTTCATCTTTTTCTTTTTTAAATGCCCCAAAATATTCGTCCATTTTAAAAAGTCAAAACATAAAAGTATTTCAAACTACCCTTAAAAGAAATAAATATATTTAATAATGGAAATAAAATGGGCAATATGATAAATCAATATATTTTTATTTGATTTTAAAGTAATAATTACATGTTTCCTTAAAAAGTTAAAATTCTCAAAGGGGATCAACATTGTGGGACAGAAGGAATACAAAACTAGTTCTAAATAATTATTTAAACAATTCTTGTTTGTAAAATGATGGAATATATTTGATGTTTGAGTATGTTGTGGTCATATTTTGAATGATGACAAAATTTATAAAAATCGTGGTTCCAAACTAAATTCAACCACATTTCCATGGTTCAGTTTGATTTGATTTCATGATTTTCATGGTTCGATTTAATTTGATTTCATGATTTTCATGGTTCAATTTGATTTTAAATTTTTTAGAATCATAATTAATTTCGATTTACTTCAATACCCAATCATACCCATACATACCTATTATATTCTATTAAAATTTGTATATATATGTATATATATATATATATATATAATTACAAATACACTCTTAGAATTTGCTTAAAATACTAATTACTCCTTTAATTTTGAAAATTACATTTCATTCCTTAAAATTTTTAATCACGTAATAAATAATCTCTTTCATTAATCAACCATTAAGTCAAAAAAAAAATTTTAATTATGTCAATTAAAACCATTGAGAAAACAAATTAAATTCAAAACATAAACGGTACGCAACTTATTTCCTTACCACATTTTCAAGTTTCTCATAGACGTGACCAATTTCAGATCATAAACATAAACCCCCCACATTGTAATCCTCTTTTTTAAGAAAATAAAATTATTAATAACAATTATGATAGTTAGAAATTTTATTTTATATGTCAATTCTGTTAAATGATAAATTCTAATAAAAAAATGTTTGTAATTTCTAAAATAACAAGTAAAAACATGTATTATAAGTAAATAATAAGAGGTGTATTTATAATTTATAAAGGATTTTCATTCAGGCAATTTAATCTAGAATATAGAAGAATGAAAGGAAGTGCCAAGATTTTTCAACTTGTGAATACCATCTTCTTTCATAAAAACAAAACATAAAAATGACAAGATAAAACAGTATGTATATAAATTTATACTTTTAAATTGTTAATCATATTTATGGTGTTTTGATGTTTAAGTAAGAAGAAGAAAGAGAGAAACAAGAAGATGAAGAACAAGAAAGCAAAAGCAAGTGTTTGTATAAGCGCTTCCTCAGCAAATAGCGGCTGGTTCAGCACCGACGGTAGCGAATACAATGAAGAGACTGAAAGCCTAGTTTCATCTTCCAGAAGTTCCTATTCCTCTTCCGACTTTGGTTGTCCATTACAGAGTATCAATGAGCGACCCATTAACGAATATAGAAGGAAGAACAAGAACAAGAAGAAGAAGAATTTAAAGGTTCGGAGAGACCATCTTTCCTTTGTTTTTGTTTTCGTTTTTGATTTAGTTGGTCTCTCACCAACTATCAGCATGTGTTTGCACATGATTGGGCTTATTTTTCGGTGTCAACCTAATTGGGATCGATTAGTTTAGCTGTAATCCTCGTAGCACTTGACTTTCTTTGTTGATATATTTCTTACTTTATACGCTGATTTTCATCAATAAATGTTCTCTCTTTTTTGTTGATTAAAAAAAAAAGGTTCGGAGACTGAAACGTTACAATTCGGAGAGTTGGAGAGGAGGTGAGAAGACAAAGAAAACGATGACGCTGGAAAGTGGGTCTCCGGCAATGGCGTCAGTTTTCAGGCGGTTGAAGGAGAGCTTTACGGTGGTGAAGAGGTCGGAGAACCCACATGAGGATTTCAAAGGGTCGATGTTGGAGATGATATTGGAGAAACATATGTTTGATGCTAAGGATTTGGAACAGTTGTTGATGTGTTTTCTGTCTCTTAACTCACCACACCATCACGCCACCATTGTTGAGGCCTTTGTGGAGGTTTGGGAAGTTTTGTTCTGTAAAACTCCTCCCAAGTCTCAACGTGTTTCTATGGGTCATTGAGGTCGAAGAAGATGATGGAATAGAATTTTTAATTCCTTATAAATAAATGGTATATTGTATATTGTTTTATTATTTGTCTGTGCTGGTTTTTGAGCTTCTGAGAAAGTTTTCAGTTTTTTATCTCTCAATAATTCAAACTTGTCTTCATGTGTTATGCATGTGCGACTAGTAAGAAAATGTTTTGGCTTGCTTTTCTTTAGTTATTCGGATCACATTTTACGAGCTAGGATCTCCCCTTGACTTTTACTTGATGGGTTATTCGATTTACTTTTAGATCTAATTTTGATAATCTAAATCGTTCACATTTTAGAATTTGTCAGGTTTATCATACTTATAAAAATCAAATTAATCGAATAACGGAAGAATTAAAAATCGTTTATTAAAAAAATTTAATAAATTGTCACGACTCCATTCCGTCTCTAGTAGAATGGTGTCATGATAGCTAGTAATTCGAGATTACCAAAGGCCAAGTTACAAAGTCACACACAATCAGAGTACACATATGGGGCTTACATGTGCAGCAACAATAAATTTAAATCTAAATAGTCCATAAGAGCTGTGCATAGATCAAATGAAATGACATACATACTAACATGGTTTTACAACTTAAATACAAATAAAACAAAGTATACGTTACATCTTGATCAAAAATTTCTCAAGCCGACATATACAAAAGAAATAAATTACAAAGTTAAGAAGCATAATCTTCAAGATACTAGCAAAACATGATTCCAAAAAACTTGCAAATAACATCTAGGCGTCACCGCCTTCTTATTCATCACCTACATATATATAAGGAGTGGGTGAGTTTGGATACTCAGTGAATGATATTAGTAATAAAAGTTTGAAGGAATGATATTCGAGATCTTTATCAAAACATTACATAGCATATCTTGTACAAATCAATGGATGAACCAAGTTCATCTATCAAGTTTTTCAAAATATTTATTAGCATCAATATAATACAAGGGATAATATTCCTGACAAAATAAGGGAATAATCGACTCGGAATCGATTAGACAAACCCATCCGTACAAAACCGTCGGTGGCAAGGGAGATATCTCAAACAAGGGTACTAGTTGCATTATAGTCCTCTAGCACTAAGGACTTTCCAAGAATGTCATCAAAATAAGATAATACTTGATACAAAACTATGAATAATCATTCATACTTGAACAAATACTTTTCCAAAACGAAACAAACAAAACTTTTATCAAAACATTAGAACATAGCTTTATTAAAAATACCTCACATACCTCTTCGGGTGCAGGGATTAAGACAAGAATCCAAGACCTAGAAATACATGAAAAGGTCGATTGAACGCATTTCAAGAAGACAAGAAGAGATACTCAAAGATGGTTGTACAATACATTCCTAAAACAAGTTTTACATGAGTGTAAATGATCCCAGCATTTCTTTCAAAACTAAGTCAAGACAAAGGAAACATGTGCTGGGAGTTAAAACACTGTTTTTCATCTCGAAAAAACATGCTGGGTACTAACCAGGTCTTGGCCGAGGTCCCACACCTCTTGGCCGAGGTGTGGTCCCGGTGACCACATTCAGGGAAATAAAGTCTGGAAAATCTGGGTTTCCTTTGAAGAACATAAAGAATATGAACATGAAGAACATGAATGCTAAAATCATAACTTCTTTATTCAAAATCTAAGATTTCATGATATGAGTTCAAAAACATAGACCTAGGTACCCGTACTTAAAGATCTTCTTGAAAACAAACACAAAACATGGAACTTGTTATAAACTTTCGGATCAAAACAAGTCTTTTCTTCAAGAACACATGAACATCATTTTCTCTTTCTAAAATAACTTTAAATCAATGCATGACTCATGAATCATGCCAGATCATGCAATGTGATCATATATATACAAAGAACAACCAGAGAAGATCAAGATTCTAACCTCAAAACACGGATCAATAGGTTCAAACTCTAAGGATCAAGCTTAGAAATCTACTTCTCTCTCAAGAACTTTTCACCCTCTTCCAGAGCTTCTCTCTCTCTACATGGCAAGTTTATGATACCAAATGATAGTTTTCTATACCCGGTTCTGGGGTTAACCCTCTGCTGAGACACGTGGCGGCGACTGGTTGGGTTCATCCTGAAA